TTATCGCCTTTCCCCCCCCCTTCCCGACACCGCCAATTGCAGCAAGAGTTTATCGAATTAATTCTTTAAATAGTTCTTCTCTTTTCTTATATAATATATACAAGAGGGTGGACCAAAAGTTAGTTTACCGATCTATTCTCCGGCAATTCAAAATTTTGTCCTTAAGTGATAGCGATTTGTTCTTTGAAAGTTGTCTAAAAGAGTTCGTATATAATATAATATATATATATATATATATGGGTGGCCCAATAGTTAGTTGACTGGTCTAAATATCAATTCGTGTTTGATTAGCAGAGATTTTAGCGATTAAAAAGTGGTTAATTTACTTTCGAGACACCCTTTAAATTGTTGTAAGGTTAAAGTATAAAAATCCTCTGCGTATTTTAACCGCAACGGGCAGACAAACTGACGAACTTTGTAAATTATACGGAATTCAGACAAAATGATACGTTAATTCTTGGTTTAATCGAGTCAAAGTAGGGATTTTATTCGATGCGACAACTATTTTTATAAGGCTTATATACGCCTATTTTAAGGGAATTTATGAATAATTATTTAATTATTTTTGTGATTTTTCTATTAAAAAAGTGATTTTTAGTCTTAAATTGTTAGCAAATTCAAAATTAATTGCGTAAAATCTAAAATAATTCGAAGATAACACGTAACACTACTACTACTACTACTTCTAACACTACAACATACAAGAATGTAGCTCAATAATACTAAATACATAGAATTATTCTACTTAAATAAGTTAATTATAATTAAATTTAGACAATTAATTGTATAATTAACATAAAATAAACTTAATTAAGTTACATTTAGGGCAAGTATTGATAGATTTTTCAATATGATTCAATGGTAAGTGATGGGCAGATTAAGCGTATATTCTGCAGGGAAAAAAGTAATTTAACTAACGAAATTAAGGAATAAGATAGAAATTATTAAATTACAGTAAAATTTAGATAATTTATTACGTAATTAACACAAAATAATGTTAATTATGAAGTATTTAGAACGAAAACGAAGAGATTTATAACGGTATTCAATGGTAAATAATGCTATGAAGTCTATTTTCTGCACAAAAAAGAAAAAGCATGATTTAAGTAATGAAATGATAGAAAAAAATCATAGTAGAAAGTAAAAAAATATAATCTAAATAATGATATTATAATAAATTAATTGAAATTAAAGTAATTTTTTGCACAATTAATCAATTTTAATTAACTAAAGTAACGTATTCGCCTCTACCACGTTTCAGCTCTTCTACTTAGAGTTATTGTAATTTACTTTAAAAAATCATCCCGTATTTAATCATCTTAACACTTTTACTAATTATATTTAATATTTAAATAAGTTTAAAGCATAAAATTACGTCAGCAAAGAACGTAAGAACGCTTTTTTCCCTAGTGAAGGATCGCTTAGATAATAGCAAGAGCGATAGAAAGATGAGGAGAAATCTTATAAAAAAAACTCGTTTATAATAACATAAATTGTTATAAACAATTATAGAGATGTTTATAGTTCTATAAAGTTATAAATTAATAAAATAATCCTTATATACCAGCCGTTATAAGGATTATAAACAGCAAAAACACTCAACCTACCCCCCCTAAGAGACTGGCATGAGATTGGAGTTGTAGAGAAGAATTTAGGTCATATTCTTTTAAGAAATTAATTAAATATGATTATAAATCGTAGATATTTATTAATTAATGTAAATTATTAAATATTTACTATAATTTTCCATAAAATATTGAAGATAAAACGAGAGAAATATTGAAAAGTAACTCTGCCTGCAAGAGTCACTTTCAATTAGAATTCATTACTGTGATAAGGAAGAGGAGCATCAATTCGTGGTTATTATATATTATAAACAAGACTGAATGGAGATTCTTTTTGTGTCCTGAATAATAACCGAGTTGTACTGTACTGTACAATGGGATATTTGAGAAGGATTCGAAAGGATCGTTCCGTAAAATCGCATCCGATGGTACAGTACATAGTTGATTAAATCAATACAAGGACACGAAAGGAACAGGTAAGCAGAGGAAACATCTGGCCCCTTATTCATTATCTGTACTTCCCCGCAAATAAGAGGGGGTAGATTTGTTTGATGAGAGGAACACGTGACTGGGAGTTCGTTTCAACCAATCATTAATGGTTCAGGTACACAGGTTCTACCTGATCTACTTTCACATAGTATCCCACTCCCTCCCTCTTTTCTTCTCCTCTTCCTCTCCTTCCCTTCTGTTCTCTTTAAAAAACGAAGGAGAATTTTATTATTTTGAATAATATATAATTAAAATTCGATTCTTTCATATTTATTTTAATTAGATTTAAGTGTTTATAAACCTATAAGATGAGAAGATGCAGCATAAAACATCAACCTGTATCACTTTTGTTAGAATATTTTAAGCTTCACACCGTATAAAAATCATTTAAAAATTTTAAAAAATAAGAATTTTATCAATAAAAATTAACGTTTTATACGTTTTAATCATAATTAAATAAAGAAATTTAGTTTTAAAAAAAGAACGTAAATTGTTACATACCTGTAAAACTTTACTGTATTGCGGGGAAGCCTACATTAAAGGTTAAGCTCAGCAAAAACCTGCAAAAAAAATCATATTTTCGAACAAAATACATTAAAATTTTATACAGAAATAAGGTATAATATAAATTAAACTAGAACCTGTTCTATTAAGCGTAAATTAGGATTAATTTCTTAACTTTTTAGGAGCAGTTATTGGGTTTCACGGGAAATGCCAAGAGGAGAGAGAGAGAGAGAGAGAGAGAGTGCTATTTTTCGGGGCCTCTCCAGAAACCCACCGGAAATTCTTCCACCCAATTTTGCCCATTTTCAATCTATCAACAAACTTACTTTAAGATTTTAATCGTTATTTACTGTTATAATAACTAAAATACATCAAAATTTAACCCCAAAACTTGACTAGACAACGTATACTTCACAAGTTAAAGCTACGTTCAAATAACTTTTCATGTAATTTTAAGTTAAATTATTACTAAATTAACACTTAAAATCGTAAGCAGATGTTAGTTTAGTGTATAAAATGTCGTTTTTTAATCAATAAATGTTCAAAATTCTAATAAAAAATCCTAAATTTAGGCCCTGAATTCTTCCGAAAGAGACATTTGTATGTATATTTTAAATCATGTTCTTTCGACTTTATGGCCTTGTATCTCCATATATAATCAAATATTTAAGAGATTTTAAAGATTTAATACTTATATTTTGCTTAAAGTTTTTATAAGTAACTTCAGGAAGTCATTAAGATGATAAGATTTTGCAAGATTCGCATATTTTGGTGAAGATAACAGGAAACATAAGCCACAATCAAAGGGGTTATCTCGACGATTTCTTCCTTACTTTTCTCCTAATTTTGTTTAAAAGTAAAGGAAATTTTCATTTGATATTTAAACTTAAAGGTTTTTTAATATCTTTTGGATAATTTGACAAAATTTTCTTAAGCATTTCCTCTGTAATTTGATAAGATTCGGGGATTTCCCTTGCTAAATTTATCATCTTCGGTTTAAAAAAAATCATCGCTTAAACTCCATTTTATCGTTTAGTATTATAATTTAAGGACTTTTAGGACTTCGTAGGATTTGACAGGATTCTTCAGGATTCAATTTTTTATAGCTACATTCGAAGTTTGAGCAAAAATCTTAGTGAGAAGAAGCTCTAGATTAATGCCAAATTATTCGATAAGTTAAGCTTTTATTTAACTTTTTAAATAGTTTATACGTATTTTTATAAAAAATAAATTAAGTTTTTCCGTAAAAATCTCATAAATGTAATTAAAATTAGCAAAAAAAATTATTTTTGTCAGTTTTTTTAAATAAATTCGAACCCAAAATGGCGATATAAAGCTATAATAAATGGCAAATTGGTATGTAAAAAGTTCAGCAAAACTTGGAATTTCTGGAAAATAATTGAGTTCTTTGCAATTTTTTTAATAATTGATAAGTCTGAAACACGTGTAATTAGGTTTATTTATTAATTTTCTTCAATTTTAATTTTCTAAAAAAATCCATTAAATGCAATCAAAATTAATTTCGAAGTGCATTAAACTCCATTTTGGTTAAGCATTTAAGTGGTTTGTGACTGTAGTTGTACTGTACAATGAATTTCATCTCTTGCTGATAACTTAAGACATATAAATTCTGTGAATTTCAGAGTCAGGCACAAAATATGTGAATTCTGTAGCAGAATGAAGCATGCAATAGAGTGAGGATAAGCCTCGCTGTGTTAGAGTTATGTTAGAGTTGTGTTAGAGTGAGGCATATAATGACGTGAATTTCGTGCTAGAGTGAGGTATAGGCCTATATCGGTGTGAATTTAGTAGTAAAATGAGGTATATAATGATGCGAATTTCGTGCTAGAGTGAGGTTTATATTGGTTTGAATTTAGTAGTAAAATGAGGTATATAATGATGCGAATTTCGTGCTAGAGTGAGGCACAAATTGTGCGAATTTAGTAGTAAAATGAGTATATAATGATGTGAATTTCGTGCTAGAGTGAGGCACAAAATGTGTGAATTTCTCCACTGTTCAACTTGACTAAACAAGCGAATTTAAATAAACAAATAAAAAATAAACCTCGCTACAAATCATAAAAGTGTTTGGTAGCAAACCAAACTCTAAATTAATCCATTAATTGCGTGAATTTCGACACAACTCGAGCCAAAGAAAGCCTATAAACCTCGATTCACACAACCACACCAACTTAATTAAAAAAAAAACAAGAAAAGAAAGAAAGAAAAGAGAAACGTTAATAGCGCAGAAGGGGCAAAGGCACAAGTACACCCACTCGATCCTTATCAAATGAAGTGTATATGTGTCAACAATTAACGCACACGGTTCAGTGTCACTCTCCGACACCTTACCGTTGACATAACCTCGTTGCCAGCGTCTAAATAAACCCACAAAAGTTTAATCGTCACCCACAAGGCGAATAAACAGGGAAGCGCCTCCATCTTTATAATTCACATTTGGCAACTATAACTCATTGTTTCGTCACGCCGTCTGGTCCAATAAGATTCGTCCCGCCTCCCCGCCCTTGGGTGCCCCCTGGCGGCGGCCGGGCGAACTAAAGGAGGACGATTCCTCTCCACCAAGTAGCCGTATGTGTGGCATCGACACTTACAACTTGTCAATCGCGTTGCTTCGTTCGTCTTTCCCAATCAACAGAACTTAGAAGTGTGTGGTGAGAGACGAATTGCCTCCGACTCTGTTTTTTCCTCTGTTTATTTTTTTCTTCCGCCCCCTTCTCTTCACGCCATTAACTAGTTTTGGGGGTGAGGAGAACCCCTCCCATCCCATCATGTTGTATAATGTGCCGTATTATAATTATTCACCGATTCCTCCTTATCTTCAGGTAAGTTTCCCGGCTCTCGAGGAGCGTAAAGCGCGTAACTGCGCGCTCTTTTTTTTTATTATTTTCCCCCACGATTTAAACTAAACTGGACCCTCCGAAATTTAACTTTAAAAGTCACGTAATTAATTTCGAAACTTCGGGTTAAAAGGTCAGTCAAGAACCCCTCAAACAAGCAATTTTATACTTTTAATTCTACAGGTTATTTTTGCCTGTTAATCGGGTCTTTCCTCGAGTTAATACGCGCTTACGAAATCGCGTATTAAATCGTTAGTTCGTCAGTCTGTTAGGCCGTATAACTTATATATTTCATGTAAATTACGGGTTTTTAATGTTACGGTTTATGGCCTAATCCATTATTTATCGAATTTTACGTCATTTAGCACGTAAAATATATAATTTTCTGCTTTAAAATTCGGTAAAACTAGGGTTTTTTTTCCTCTCTCTCTTTTCGTTGGGAAGACCCTTTATTTACAGTAAAATTAACAAATTCTATTTAAAAATATCGAATTAAATTAANTCATTATCAATTTAATTATTCATCGAAAACGATTATTGACTCGAAGCATAACCACCAGATGGCACTCATTTGTTTCCCTTCATCCGGCTTATTTGTAAGCCTTCCTATAGATCCTGGAGCATACAAAACATATAGAGTAAGGCCTAAAGATTCATTTATATCAATGGATTTACTACATAAAAATATTTTAAAAAATTAATATATAAATTGATTATAGGCCAATATTTACATATTAAACCATAAATATAGATTAAATTAACTGTATTTTATTATATAGTCGCTGTATAAATTAAGAAATTCCACTGTAACAAAGGAAAAGATTAAATTTTCACCCCTCTTTAAAGGCAATTTATTTAATTAAATATACCTTCCANTATTTAAGAAAAGTATTTTGAATAATGGAAGTAGAATAATAAATGCTATTATATTATTCAGATATTCGATCCGAGTGCAGATAATCATGCACGATAGTATTTGTGTTTAAATTAGTTTCTAAAAGTATATTTTTATTTCCTTTTCTTGAAAAGACTTTGATTAAAATTTTGATGTGATGATTGGTTTTCGTTTCCTTGATATTTTTATTACTTCTTTTTATCTTCTTGTTCTCAAGATTGTGTTTTATTTAAACTTCTATATCATCGAATAAATTTATTGTATTTTTATGTAAATAATTTATGTATGACTTATTAAAAATTGCATTTTTTTCTACAATTCTGTATTTTTTATTTCAGTTGTTTTTTTATACACGAATTGCATTTTTTTTTTTGTAAGCAGAAAGGTGAACTGACCTCGAAAATTCTTGCATTTATGGTTGTGAATGGTTGTAAGATAATATATAAAGTAAAATGATCTGAAAATTGTTTATAAAAATACAAATTTTAAGCTGTTTCTGCCCGTTCCGAGTGAATAAAATTCGTATAGAAAGGTTTATTTACACGGTTTAGGTCAAGTAAGCGTAAATTTAATTACTTAAAAAAGAATTAATTTCATAACAAATCGCTTTAAAAAAATGGCAAAACTTCATTAGTTTCGAGTTGAATAAATTATATTTTTATTCGTTAAATTAATTCTTTTTTTTATAAAAAAAAACAGTAAAAATAACAATTAAAATGGTAAAATTTTACAGTTTTTTTTTGCTCATTTTAATAAAGTTCCAGCTGGCTTTTTCAAGGCTTATCGTAAGGAAGTGCAATAGTTTCTTCCCCTTTCTAGCTTATGTAACTGGAATTATTCGATGTTTTCGGTAATTATACGGTTAAAAACAGTAAAAAAATTGGCTTAAAAAACGAATAAATTCTCTTCGAAAATAGATTTATAGAGCTGTGATTTGTTTAGACGTTTAGACAAGTTAGGCATACGGGTTGAATTTTACAAGTGTTTTAATGGATTAAATTAATAAACAATTTATATTTTTATAAATTAAATAAGTTAAGAATTGGTTTTTACAAGTATTTACGTTATAAACTTTACGGATTAGGCCATTATGTGTTGGGTTCGAGCTTAAGAAAGTTTCCCCTTCTGACAGTTTCACGCCAGAACAATCGGAGTAACACACTGAGTTTGACGTGTCTCCCGCGTGTATTTTTGACAAATTTTTAAGTATTTTTTTTTTTCTGGACATATTCGGGAGGGGGACCGGACAATATTGTTGTTTAGTGAGCCGAGGGACCACAGGGATGGAGTGGTGAGCGCTGGTTTTGGCGTCCATTGTTCGATGGGATCCTACGTCTCAATCTTTGATTTGTGTCTTTTCCGCTGACGTATTATTAAGAGATGAATTTCTGGTCAGAGATGTGCCACCGATGATAACTAGAAGCGACTACAAGCAATGAACAATGGATGCAGGAGCGGAGAAAAGGACAATCCAGACTGCGCGCGCCAGTTTTCTGCTATACACAAGAGACAGCTGAAGGACCATTTCAGTCCTTGAGATCCAACAAATGTCTAACGGGCACCACGCTGATAGACAACTATTGCTGAATACCTCCCCTGTAGTCGAGGCCTCTTGACAGCCTCCTGATTACTTCATACAGTCCAAGTCTAGGGGAGAGCTACTGAATGGGGAAACTAGTAGACGAACGGGAGGGGGGCCGGGCCACCAATTCACCCCAACTTTTTTTCTCTCTCAGACCTTCTCTAAATCACTATCCTGATCTGGGATTTACAAGTAAAAACTTGCCAATCACACACCTCTAAATAAACTTCACAAATCTTCACAATAGGACTAAACCTTCGACAGAAAACACTACCAAGGGGTGGATTTTCTTCCCTTCCCTGAATCTTTTGTGGCTAAACACATTGCCGAATGTTCATTCAACTATTCGATCCACCACCACCCCTCGACTAAATCTTCCTGACTTTTCTCAATTATTTTACTACTAAACACAAGGCATACGTCACTACTTTAAACGTACGCAAATTACTCCCACCCCCTCGTACGATTCGGGGTTTCCTTACTTCCCTAAACAATGCCTTAATCCTTATCTATGTTTTCGCGAAATTCGGGGCGAAATAAAGCCCGGTTTCTTCGATGTCAGCTCGAAAAAAGGCTGCAAAAAGTCGTTCATGTGACCGGCCTCTATACTTGATTAATAGCCCGGTAATGGCGGATTTTTTATTATTATTATTATTATTGTAAAGTGAGATGAGTCTTAATAATTCTTCTCTTTGTAAACGTTGTAAGAATATTACAAAATAATTATTCTAGGAGCCATTTTTTCGCGTTTAATGAGTAGCTACACAAGTTAAGATGGAGCGATAACGCGGTCAAATCCCCGCTTTTTTTGGTCAAAATTCCTCTTAACACACTTAATTAACCCCTTAAAAACGCGTAATTAAGGAGTTTAATTAATTAAAACCGAGATTATCTGAAGAATAACTCCTTTTAGATCGGCTCTCCTCGAGATCCTCCGAGTCCATTTTGGCTCTTTACCATTAAAAATTCACTAGAATTGACGAAATTAGGAGGTGATTTTGACAATTTTGCGCCATTTTTTTAAATGGAATTTTTAATGACGCGATTGCATGGAAGGACATACTTAATAAGGGGGATGGTAATTCATCATACAGAATAGAAGTGAAGCGGCTTCTTGTGAGGTCGAGATGGTCGACTGACGGTAGATATGGCTGCATGAAGATGATGGAATGGAATGATCAGACTTCCCAGAAACACACCGCGAATGCTCATCATTCCAAGCAGAAAAAAGCACCAACCATTCAACATCACAAATATAATTTACCGTGACTAAGTGCTCCTGAGTACTTGGCCCGAATAAGAGCAATTAACTGTTCCTGAGGAATCGGAACCATCAATGAATGCGATTGTGGTTGGTTTCAGAAAGAATTTCTTGTGAGCGCGTACAGAAATAGAGAACGAAACTGTCTACCGAAAGGTAATACAAGTATCCATCAAAGGATAATACACTAAAATTACATTTTTTTTTTCTTCCATCCGTTCCTGGGAGCCTGGGAAGGATTTAAACGCGAGTTACATCTTGGGGCCTCGTTCTACGAGGATACTAGATTAGGATTTTGTGTTTTTTAGACTTATCTGGTATGAGTGAAAGGCCTCTTATGTCTAGTTTCAACCCTCTTAAAAGCCATTAATGAATGTTCGAAGCTTTACGAGCTTTCTAGGATCCACGTTTCGCCATAGAGAAGGCATTACAAGTGTTATTCTTACTGTTCTCTACTGTTTATTGTCAGTTCGAGTGGAGTCACAGAAGGATTTACACGCGAGCTACAACTTAGGGCCTCGTTCTACCCGTATATTAGACTTATTTGTTAAGGATAGGCCTCTTATATGTTATAACGAGTCTAATTTCAACTCCTATAAGAGCCATTAACGTTTGAAACTTTCTAGAATCCACGTTACGCCATTCTGATCCATAGAGTAGGCATTACAAGTATTATTCTTAGTGTTCTCCGCTGTTTATTGTTAGTTCGAGTGGAATGACTCCTAGGAGCCAGAGAAAGATTTATAAACTACAACTTAAGACCTCATTCCACGCGGACATTAGCTTAGTTCTTCGCGTTTTTATAGACTTATTTGGTAAAGAAAGGCCTCTTATATGTTATAACGAGTCTAATTTTACCCTTCTAGGAGCCATTAATTAACGTTCGTAGCTTTACGAGTTTTCTCGGATACACGTTTCTCTATTCTGATCCACAGAATAGGCATTACAAGTGTTATTCTTAGTGTTCTCGACTGTTTTTCAATCGGGATGTTTATTGTAAGTTGGAGTGGAGCTACCCGTCCACAAGGACCCCGATTCGGCTGTCTGGTCGCGTGAGTTATGACTCTAGTCGTATAGAAAGCAGAAAATAGTGGGAAAAGACCGGGCGGGCCATTGCTGATCAGCCCGTTGTGTGTTACAGTAGTGGGCAACCGCAGCGAACAAATTTTACTTATTGACGATCCTCCCATCCCCTCCCAGTGGCATACAACAGCATCGGGGCAAGAAATGACCTTTCGCTGACCATT